AATAAAAGAAACAATTGCTGTGCCTGCTCCTTCTCTTGTTGAAGTTAATATCAAAACATTCATTGACTTCAGCTGGAGCAGGATTGGGTTACGCATCTTTCTATTGCAAAACTACCATCATTGCAGTATCACAGACAGAGCTGGTAGTTCACTTATTATAAAAGTTGTGTGACACTTCCCATTATATGACCCTGTTATCAATTGTCTATAACCTTGTCAAACTTTAACCGTTTGGGCTGAAATTTTCCATGCTATATATTTACCTCAGGGTCAATTTTTTCTAGAATATTTCAGCCAAAATGGTTCAGCTGTTTCTGAGACTGAAGCTGGGAAAATATATTGAATAGGATGTGTGTGTTGCTTCATTTTTATTCTGGTGACCCCTTTTTGAGAAGCTCTAGTGTCCCCATGCTGTGAAGCATGAACTTGAAATTTGGCAGTGTTGTGGCCTTTTATCAGGGATATGCCTTTTGCCATCCTCCTAAAAATCTGCCCAAATCTGGCCAAGTTATAAGCCTTTGAAAAACCACAGTTCGTACATGCTTAGTAGAGAGTTGCTAGAACTCTGCAACTAAATTCTCTGAAGATTCTGTCCACACTGGGCATGCTCCAGTCCAGGGCTAAGCAGGCCTTTTCCTGCAATTACAGCTCTGGGCTATGCGGACCAGGTTGTGGCCAGGCAGCGGTTCTGAGAATAGGGAGCCTGTTTCTCCTGTGCTCTCAATGCTTCTCCCTCATCCTCCACCATTGAGCCCAGGCAGTGTGGAGGAGGAAACTAACTGATTCAAGTGCATAGGGTAAAAGAGCTGGACCTGGGGAGTTGACTGGTATAGGGAGATGGCCTTGAAGTGGTGGGGGGGGGGAAGACTGCGACTGGTTGGGCAAGGAGATTGGAACTTGGAACCAGTGCAGCATGGGGAAGGAGGAGTTATGGGAAGAAAAACAGATCTGTCAATGAGCCAGGGTGAAAGGGGAGAACTGAGACTGGCTGGGCAAAGAGTGGGAGAAGAAGCTGGGGAGGTAGCACACTAATGTTGAATGAGAGGTCCAGAGAGGGAGACTGGGACTGGTAGTCACTGGGGATTGGGTGTGTGTGTGGGGTCGGGGGAATGACAGGTTGCATGAGCAGCTGGGAGGGAGTGGAATGTCTGGGAAAAGAGATGGGGACTTGGGAAGAGAGCCTTGGATGGGGAGTCTAGAGTGGTGAGAGTAAGAATTACTAGGAATGGGATGAAGTGCCTGAGGAGTGCAAATGAGGACTTTCCGCCCTAATGGTTATAATTTTGCCAACTTTTAAGCATCTGAAGTCAGTCTTATAATGGGAAGCATTGGACAACCTTTATAACAGGCAAGCTACCAATAAAAAAAAACATAAACAATTAATAGCTATGCTTTAGAGAAAGCAAAATGGGGACTTGATCACCCTTTCCTCCTCTTCTGTCCCCTCCCTCTTGGATAAATGTAAAGATGCAAGCCAAATTGGGATCACAGTATTGCCAGCTATAGGCATTCAAAATCATGAGTCAGGTCCCCTGAAAATCCTGAGGCTGGCTAAAAAATCATATTTTAAAGTAATACATTTTTGTCTGCTTGTTGGTTTTTTTTGGAGCCTTTAGAGTTCACTTGGGTTACATTTTCAAGCTTTTATCCTCAAGCACAAGAGCTAGAAACTTTTTTCTTTTTTTCTTTTTTTTTAAAATGAGAGCTGGGATGCTCATGTAGTCACGTAAGGCCCTAGTTTCTGGATTTAAGAAAAGCACCAAATATCACAAGGTTCATGGAAAAAAAATGTGAAAGTCAGCAACACTGAGAACTCTAGTCAGAGTGACTAAGCACAGGCTCACTCTCCCCCTCACCTTTCTATCTCCTTTGTGTGCATATATGTGTGGGTGTATAAAAACAAGAAAATTAAGTGCATAATCTAACTGCACCTGAAATCAATGGAAAGATTCTAGTAGACTTCAGTCTGAGTTGAGTCAAGCCTTTCATGCCAAATAGCTACCATAAAGGAATACAACATTAAGATCTCACCATAAAATAAAATATTTTGTTTTCTATGCAGCAATGTTAACTAGGCTAAACTGCACATATGTTCTTAACCTGTTTTTCCAGTTATTAGGTATATTATAAAATATATATGATAAAACATACAGGATGTTGAATGACATTGAATTAATCTTTTTATTGGTGCCTTACCTTTACATTTCCTGACTTTTTTGTGTTTATTGTAACTTAATGTTGCATTCCCATAACTTCTTGACACTCTATTTTATACCAAGGTAATGTAGGAAAGGAAGAATGAAATGTAATCAAAACCAAATTAGTCAGCCATAAGTAGCTTTCATTATAAATCTGGTAGTTTAGGAGTTGAAAGAAGTGTAGGCAATGTGTATAGATAATGTAGTGTATATGAAACTGTCTCATAAAACTAACAATGAAGCTGCATCAGTATTTTTTTTAAAAAAAGTCCTCCAGCTTTTGTTTCTATCTTCAAAATTCCCCCCAACACCTCTCCCCGCAGCCAGAATTGTAGAAAATAGTTCCTAATCTGCACTGGCTGGTTTATTTTTAGAGCTTTTTTGAAGAACTGGAACACTTTTTCAACTAAAATTTTTGAACAAAATTTCTGGGTTTCTTATTGAAACTTGAGCCCCTTTTGTTGATATTCTCTTGTGAATAGGAAGGCTATAGAACGGGCACTAGCATTTGGCGGCGAGGGGGGGAATCCAAAATGTCTGAAACCATGTTAAAACTGCTACTGTGGGCACATTTAAAACAGTTAGTCTCATTTTAGAGACTACCAGGTCTAGTGGTATTATCCATTAAGTTTAGGTAGGAAAGTTGGAACCAAGAATGTAACTGGTGATATCTCTAGAACTTGAATAAACTGTTTAAGTATGCCCACTGTATCAGAATAATTGAATAAAAATATTATCCTACAGTATATGATATGCAGAAAATACTGTGGCTTATCTGGGGACCCCAGGTAGTAACTGTGAACTGTATTGACACCTACAATCTCAACTGGTATGGCTGCTGTGTTTCTATTTAGTCAGCCAATCAGACTAAACATTTTAAGTATAACATTTTAAATTGTAATTAATAAAATAAGGAATTTCCAGCTGTAATGGACTAGCTATGTAACAGTGTTTTCTTAGTTATCCTCCATGGGTGAAATTCTTGACTTAGCTAACAGCTGTGCCACCACACTGAACGTCAGGTGCTTTTTGAAGTAGTTCAAGAACAACATATTTTAGGATGATGAAATCCTTGAAAGTACATGCAGTGTAGCTCATTAAACATTTCCTTACACCAGTGATACTAATTCAGAAAGCATGAGAAGTTGAGCAGGGCCCCAAAAGGTGCTAGTTTTTCAAAATTTTCATTGAACCTAGAATGTGTCTCTTTGAAAAATCTCATTTGCTGTGATAAGGGGTTGACTTGGGAAATAGACTATGTGGATGACACAGAGATATAGAAATTGGACAGCCTCCTGCCCTCCCTCACTCCTGCAACCCCCCACACTCCCGTGCCCCGCAACATCCCCCCAGCCCCCTGCCCTCCCTGACTCCTGCACCTCCTCACACCCCCCCCAGCCCTGACTCCTCCATCCCCCTCACACACTCAGAGCCCTGCCCTCCCTGACTCCCGCTCTTATATAAAGCGCTTTACCATAGTTAGCTAATGGTACAAACAATATTTGGAAAGATCATTAAGTGGTCCACCGAGACCCTCAGCGATTTTCAAGTGGGTCTGTGGAAAAAAAAGTTAGACTACAAAAACAATCAAGGTACCTCACTTTATTTTCATTTACTTCCTATTACTTATAGGAGGAGGATGAATGAAAAATGGGGGAAGATAAGAGAATGTTCTTTTTCTTGGCTGGGTCCCAAGGAGGGGCCCCAAAAATGAATCTGAGCACAGGGCCACGCTAACTCTAAATCCGCCACTGCCTGGGGGTCAGGAAAAACTCCAATTGCAGTCAGACAGAGCCTGTGAGTGGTTCAAGGTAAAAGAATAGTCAGTTGCAGAGCTGAGACAAGAACTGAAGAATTCCTGAGTTCCCAGTCTTGTAATAAGCTCCTGCCTTCCCCTCTCAGATATATGGATGCTATCATCCCACAATATGTTTGTATAAGTCCTGCAAATATTGATAGAATTTATGGATGAACATCTAGTGGTTAATAATTCCCTTACGTTTGTCTTTCTCTGAAGGTGGAAAGAGATCAAGGAATGTGAAATTCCCACTTTACTTGTATTACAGAAAGAACTGAGTTTAATAACTAAGTTTTTTTGTTTTTTGTTTCTGTAGACCTTTAGTCTATCAACCTTGCACAATACATTTGAGAGAGAATCTTCATAACAATACTGTAGCATACAGAATATCAAATACAAGAGAGGAGGAAAGTGGTTTGTTTTTTTTACTTTTCGTGAGCTATTCATCAGAGACTAGTACTCGGAGAACAAACCCCTCCAATCTCACTGCTGTTCTGGTAGTAGACTTCTGATTAAGGATAAACAGAAAATCTATATGTAGGTTGATTTTTAAGAACAATTGCTAGAAGAAACAGTATCAGAAGCATGGATTATGTTCTGATAAAACTATCTTTTGGGGGGGAAAAAGTTTGAGAATTCTTACATTGACTAAATTCAGGTGAAGATTATGCTCTTAGCCTTTGGTATCCAAGAGTTGGTAGAAATTGAATTTGGTGAATGATTGCCCCTGGATGGTAGAAGGGGGTTACTTATTTGCCTAGAAAGGGCAATTGGCTCATATCCATGCCACTGGTTTTAAAGCAGGATTCCCTATCCATGGTGCTAGGAACATGTTGCAAAGGAGTGGAGACCAAGTAGCTTTGTAATGCCATTATCAGAAGCTGTAGACAGCATGACCCAGATCTTTAAAGCTATTTAGATGTTAGAGCCTAACACATTTTCAAAAGGGATTTAAGCGCTTAGCAGTCTAAGCCCTGGTCTACACTAGGACTTTAGGTCGAATTTAGCAGCGTTAAATCGATTTAAACCTGCACCCGTCCACACAATGAAGCCCTTTATTTCGACTTAAAGGGCTCTTAAAATCGATTTCCTTACTCCACCCCTGACAAGTGGATTAGCGCTTAAATCGACGTTGCCGGCTCGAATTTGGGGTACTGTGGACACAATTCGATGGTATTGGCCTCCGGGAGCTATCCCAGAGTGCTCCATTCTGACCGCTCTGGACAGCGCTCTCAACTCAGATGCACTGGCCAGGTAGACAGGAAAAGAACCGCGAACTTTTGAATCTCATTTCCTGTTTGGCCAGCGTGGCAAGCTGCAGGTGACCATGCAGAGCTCATCAGCACAGGTGACCATGATGGAGTCCCAGAATCGCAAAAGAGCTCCAGCATGGACTGAACGGGAGGTACGGGATCTGATCGCTGTTTGGGGAGAGGAATCCGTGCTATCAGAACTCCGTTCCAGTTTTCGAAATGCCAAAACCTTTCTGAAAATCTCCCAGGGCATGAAGGACAGAGGCCATAACAGGGACCCGAAGCAGTGCCGCGTGAAACTGAAGGAGCTGAGGCAAGCCTACCAGAAAACCAGAGAGGCGAACAGCCGCTCCGGGTCAGAGCCCCAAACATGCCGCTTCTATGATGAGCTGCATGCCATTTTAGGGGGTTCAGCCACCACTACCCCAGCCGTGTTGTTTGACTCCTTCAATGGAGATGGAGGCAATACAGAAGTAGGTTTTGGGGACGAAGAAGATGATGAGGAGGAGGTTGTAGATAGCTCACAGCAAGCAAGCGGAGAAACCGGTTTTCCCGACAGCCAGGAACTGTTTCTCACCCTAGACCTGGAGCCAGTACCCCCCGAACCCACCCAAGGCTGCCTCCTGGACTCAGCAGGCGGAGAAGGGACCTCTGGTGAGTGTACCTTTTAAAATGCTATACATGGTTTAAAAGCAAGCATGTGAAAGGATTACTTTGCCCTGGCATTTGCGGTTCTGCCTTTGCAAAAGGTTTCTGGGGAGGGCAGCCTTATTTCATCCTTCATGGTAGGACACTTTACCACTCCAGGCCAGCAACACGTACTGGGGAATCACTGTAGAACAAAGCATTGCAGTGTATGTTTGCTGGCATTCAACCAAAATCCGTTCACGCAGTGGGAGGAGGCAAAATGCGACCTTGTAACGAAAGCACATGTGCTATGTATGTAATGTTAACAGCAAGGTTTACCCTGAAAGAGTGTAGCGACTGTTTTATAAAATGTGTCTTTTTAAATACCGCTGTCCCTTTTTTTTTCTCCACCAGCTGCATGTGTTTCAATGATCACAGGATCTTCTCCTTCCCAGAGGCTAGTGAAGCTTAGAAAGAAAAAAAACGCACTCGTGATGAAATGTTCTCCGAGCTCATGCTGTCCTCCCACACCGACAGAGCACAGACGAATGCGTGGAGGCAAATAATGTCAGAGTGCAGGAAAGCACAAAATGACCGAGAGGAGAGGTGGCGGGCTGAAGAGAGTAAGTGGCGGGCTGAAGAGAGTAAGTGGCGGGCTGAAGACAGGGCTGAAGCTCAAAGGTGGCGGCAGCGTGATGAGAGGAGGCAGGATTCAATGCTGAGGCTGCTGCAGGACCAAACCAGTATGCTCCAGTGTATGGTTGAGCTGCAGCAAAGGCAGCTGGAGCACAGACTGCCACTGCAGCCCCTCTGTAACCAACCGCCCTCCTCCCCAAGTTCCATAGCCTCCACACCCAGACGCCCAAGAACGCGGTGGGGGGGCCTCCGGCCAACCAGCCACTCCACCACAGAGGATTGCCCAAAAAAAAGAAGGCTGTCATTCAATAAATTTTAAAGTTGTAAACTTTTAAAGTGCTGTGCTTAAAGTGCTGTGTGGCATTTTCCTTCCCTCCTCCACCACCCCTCCTGGGATACCTTGGTAGTCATCCCCCTATTTGTGTGATGAATGAATAACGAATGCATGACTGTGAAGCAGCAATGACTTTATTGGCTCTGCAAGCAATGATTAAAGGGAGGAGGGGAGGGTGGTTAGCTTACAGGGAAGTAGAGTGAACCAAGGGGTGGGGGGGTTCATCAAGGAGAAACAAACAGAACTTTCACACCGTAGCCTGGCCAGTCATGAAACTGTTTTTCAAAGCTTCTCTGATGCGTACCGCGCCCTCCTGTGCTCTTCTAACCGCCCTGGTGTCTGGCTGCGCGTAACCAGCAGCCAGGCGATTTGCCTCAACCTCCCACCCCGCCATAAACGTCTCCCCCTTACTCTCACAGATATTGTGGAGCACACAGCAAGCAGTAATAACAGTGGGAATATTGGTTTCGCTGAGGTCTAAGCGAGTCAGTAAACTGCGCCAGCGCGCCTTTAAACGTCCAAATGCACATTCTACCACCATTCTGCACTTGCTCAGCCTGTAGTTGAACAGCTCCTGACCACTGTCCAGGCTGCCTGTGTACGGCTTCATGAGCCATGGCATTAAGGGGTAGGCTGGGTCCCCAAGGATACATATAGGCATTTCAACATCCCCAACAGTTATTTTCTGGTCTGGGAATAAAGTCCCTTCCTGCAGCTTTTGAAACAGACCAGAGTTCCTGAAGATGCGAGCATCATGCACCTTTCCCGGCCATCCCACGTTGATGTTGGTGAAACGTCCCTTGTGATCCACCAGAGCTTGCAGCACTATCGAAAAGTACCCCTTGCGGTTTATGTACTCGGCGGCTTGGTGCTCCGGTTCCAAGATAGGGATATGGGTTCCATCTATAGCCCCACCACAGTTAGGGAATCCCATTGCAGCAAAGCCATCCACTATGACCTGCACATTTCCCAGGGTCACTACCCTTGATATCAGCAGATCTTTGATTGCGTGGGCTACTTGCATCACAGCAGCCCCCACAGTAGATTTGCCCACTCCAAATTGATTCCCAACTGACCGGTAGCTGTCTGGCGTTGCAAGCTTCCACAGGGCTATCGCCACTCGCTTCTCAACTGTGAGGGCTGCTCTCATCTTGGTATTCATGCGCTTCAGGACAGGGGAAAGCAAGTCACAAAGTTCCATGAAAGTGCCCTTACGCATGCGAAAGTTTCGTAGCCACTGGGAATCGTCCCAGACCTGCAACACTATGCGGTCCCACCAGTCTGTGCTTGTTTCCCGAGCCCAGAATCGGCGTTCCACAGCATGAACCTGCCCCATTAGCACCATGATGCATGCATTGTCAGGGCCCATGCTTTCAGAGAAATCTGTGTCCATGTCCTGATCACTCACGGGACCGCGCTGACGTCGCCTCCTCGCCCGGTATCGCGTTGCCATGTTCTGGTGCTGCATATACTGCTGAATAATGCGTGTGGTGGTTAATGTGCTCCTAATTGCCAAAGTGAGCTGAGCGGGCTCCATGCTTGCCGTGGTATGGCGTCCGCACAGAAAAAAGGCGCGGAACGATTGTCTGCCGTTGCTCTGACGGAGGGAGGGGCGACTGACGACACGGCTTACAGGGTTGGCTTCAGGGAGCTAAAATCAACAAAGGGGGTGCCTGTACATCAAGGAGTATTTCAGGCAGGACTGCACGGAGGGTTCCAATAAGAAATGGTGCACCTAAGTTATCGTTGTTATTGGAACAAGGAGGTTAGCCTGGCCTCTGATTGATACATGGCTAGATTTACCTCGCTGCACCTTCTCTGTGAGTGACTGCAGTGTGACCTAGAGGAATGAGTCCCCTAGACAGGGGAGGAGGCAAATGAGTACAAAACAAATCTGGTCTATTTCTTGTTTTGACCCACTCCATCTATCTTTTACATCTTTGGCTGGCAGCAGACGGTGCAGAAGGACTGCATGCCATCCACATCTCATGGCTGCTCGGCAGAAGATGGTACAGTACGACTGCTAGCCATCCCCATCTCTTGCCTGCCTGGCAGAAGATGGTGCAATACGACTGCTAGCAATCCTCATCTCTTGCCTGCCTGGCAGAAGATGGTACAGTACGACTGCTAGCAGTCCGTATCGCCTGCCCGCTCACCATAAGACGGTTCAATAGGACTGACTGCAGGACTAAAGAGAATGACCTGGTCAAGTCACTCCAAATTTAGTCCCTGCGCCCATGTCTGCCCAGGCGCTCCCAGCCGACGCGGCCAGGAGCACCTCGGACACGATGAGGACGACTACCAATCGTATTGCACCGTCTGCTGCCAGAAGGCAAGGGGTTGCTGCTACTGTGCAGCAAAGCCGTACCGCGTCTGCCAGCACCCAGGAGACATAGGGTGACGGTTACCTGAGCGGGCTCCATGCTTGCTGTGGTATGGCGTCTGCACAGGTAACTCAGGAAAAAAGGCGCGAAATGATTGTCTGCCCTTGCTTTCATGGAGGGAGGGAGGGAACGGGGGCCTGACGACACGTACCCAGAACCACCCGCGACAATGTTTTAGCCCCATCAGAGTGCTCCATTGTGACTGCTCTGGACAGCACTCTCAGATGCCCGATTGTTTGCCATTGCTCTGACGCTGGGAGGGGCGCTTACAGGGTTGGCTTCAGGGAGCTAAAATCAACAAAGGGGGTGGCTTTACATCAAGGAGTATTTCAGGCAGGACTTCACGGAGGGTTCCAATAAGAAATGGTGCACCTAAGTTATTGTCCTTATTGGAGCAAGAAGGTTAGCCTGGCCTCTGATTGATACATGGCTAGATTTACCTCGCTGCACCTTCTCTGTAAGTGACTGCAGTGTGATCTAGAAGAATGAGTCCCCTAGACAGGGGAGGGGGAAGCAAATGAGTACAAAACAAATCTGGTCTATTTCTTGTTTTGACCCACTCCATCTATCTTTTACATCTTTGGCTGGCAGCAGACGGTGCAGAAGGACTGCATGCCATCCACATCTCATGGCTGCTCGGCAGAAGATGGTACAGTACGACTGCTAGCAGTCCGTATCGCCTGCCCGCTCACCATAAGACGGTTCAATAGGACTGACTGCAGGACTAAAGAGAATGACCTGGTCAAGTCACTCCAAATTTAGTCCCTGTGCCCATGTCTGCCCAGGCGCTCCTGATCGACCTCACAGAGGCGACCAGGAGCACCTCAGACATGACGATGACGGCTACCAGTCGTACTGTACCGTCTGCTGCCACAAGGCAAGGGGTTGCTGCTACTGTGTAGCAATGCCGTACCGCGTCTGCCAGCACCCAGGAGACATAGGGTGACGGTTACCTGAGCGGGCTCCATGCTTGCCATGGTATGGCGTCTGCACAGGTAACTCAGGAAAAAAGGCGCGAAATGATTGTCTGCCCTTGCTTTCACGGGGGGAGGGAGGGAACGGGGGGCTGACGATATGTACCCAGAACCACCCGCGACAATGTTTTAGCCCCATCAGGCATTGGGATCTCAACCCAGAATTCCAATGGGCAGCGGAGACTGCGGGAACTGTGGGATAGCTACCCACAGTGCAACGCTCCGGAAGTCGACGCTTGCCTCGGTACTGTGGAAGCGCTCCGCCGAGTTAATGCACTTAATGCACTTAGAGCATTTTCTGTGCGGACACACACACTCGAATTTATAAAACCGATTTCTAAAAAACCGACTTCTATAAATTCGACCTTATTCCGTAGTGTAGACATACCCTAAATCCCATGATACTGCTCAGTGCCTAAATCTCTATTTAAAATGAGATTTAGGCTCCTAAGTCAGTTAGGCATTGCAACACTAAGCATGGAATTCTGTAAATAGCTTTAAAAATCTGGGTCCATGTGCCTGAGTTACCTAGCTAGCTGCTGCCAGAAGTGGTTTATATTCAATGTCCAGGATTACATACAGGATCCTCAGTCATGATTCCACTGCTAATCGTACTAGCCCCAAGTGAATGCCAGACTGGGTTCTTAAACTCTCCTCTTCTATGAGTAATTATGAATGGGATAAGTGAAACGTGCTTGCTTTGGGTAATGTGGGTAGTCCAGATTTTTTCACTGATCCTCTATATAGGGGGCCACTTTCAAAGTTAATTTTATAATTGTCCTATTTTTCAGGACTATTTTCCCATTCTTGAGGTGCTGATAGGCCAGACTCTCTCTCTTTAACATGTTTCTGACCTAGCCCATTAATTTCAGGGTATTATAATAATGTCTATAGGTTAAGACATTTTATTACCCAACTCTGTGCCCTGAGACCACTGTTTCCACATAACCTTTCTCTTCTCTTGTAGATGGCCACAAGAGCACCCTGATTTCAATGTGAAGTCTTTCTTAAAATCAATGACATATTACCCTAACTTCCTCTAAATATGCTGTTTCAGCTTCTGCGACGTTAAGGAGGCTTTGGACTCTTGGAGGAGGCTCTTTCTTATTTTAAGAGAGCAGTGAGCAGACACACTCAGGATAGTCTTTCCTACTCTCATATATATATATATATATATATATATATTTTTTTTACAATAATAAATAGTTCCTTGGATTTCCTTGAAGAGAAAAGATAAATAGCAAAAGCAGCAGAGCTTACAATTCATAGGTGTACCAGTGGTGGCAATTTCAGAACTCCGGGAAAAGCAGCCATGTCTGAACACTTTCAAAGGCCTGTCCTCTCTCTGGAAGCCATTTCAAGACACTACTTCTGACTTTATTTCTTTATCCATCACAAGCACATCAAATCCTTCCATAAAAGCATATGCTTGGCCAATCACTCGGTTACTATGAGCCACCAGCCAGAGGATGAATGTGATTCAAAAGAATACCTTGGGTTTGGAATCGCTGATTATATCTCTGATTTGAATGAATGATAACCAATACTAAATCATTCTATATGAAAGTGATTCTACCTCAGGGCAATAGCTGAGATGATGTGC